CCCGTTGCACCCCGTCGTGGCCCCGTTGCAGCCCCTCGTGGCCCCCTCGCTGCCCTTCGTGGCCCCGTTGCAGCCCTTCGTGGCCCCTTCGCTGCCCTTCGTGGCCCCGTTGCAGCCCTTCGTGGCCCCCTCGCTGCCCTTCGTGGCCCCATCTATGTATGCCCGTCGTGGCCCCCGCTCGTTCGCGCCCGTCGTGGCCCCATATGCATGCCCTTCGTGGCCCCGCTGTCGCCCTTCGTGGCCCCCTCGCTGCTCTTCGTGGCCCCGTTGCTACCCTCAGTGGCCCCGTCCTTTCCCTCCGCGGCCCACTAAGCGTATGCCTTTCGTGGCCCCCGCTCGTTCGCGCCCGTCGTGGCCCCATGTGCATGCCCTTCGTGGCCCCGCTGTCGCCCTTTGTGGCCCCTTCGCTGTCCTACGTGGCCCAGTTGCTACCCTCAGTGGCCCCGTCGTTGCATTCAGTGGCCCCGCATTGTCTGCCCTTCGTGGCCCCCGCTCGTTCGCGCCCGTCGTGGTCCCATACGCATTCCCTTCGTGTCCCCGCTGTCGCCCTTCGTGGCCTACTTCGTGCCCTTCGTGGCCCTGCTGTCGTTTCCTCTCTCGCTCTCGCTTTCGTTCGTCGTCGTCGTCGTCGCCGTCGTCGTCGTCGTCGACGTCGTCGTCGTCGTCGTCGTCATTGTCGTCGTCGTTGTCGTCGTGGTCGGTCCCCTGTCCGTTTCTCTTGTGGTCAGGTTGCCGCCGATCAGCGCTGCCGCTGGGCAGGCCGACGGTCCGCGGCCGCCCCGCCGCTTGCCAGGGCCCGGCCTGCACGGAAGAAAGGTGTACCCCCCAAAAGGGGCACGATCGAAAACGAAGAGGGTGGGTATCGAGGGTTTGTGAAATATGCGTTAATGGAATCTCGAGCAGATAAGAGCGAACAGTCTTAACATGATCGTTATTGTTGTTGCTGTTGTTGTTGTTGTTGTTGCTGTTGTCGTTGTTGTTGTTGTTGTTGCTGTTGTTGAACTTTCCTTTCTGAATATGTATTGTTGATCCCCTCCGTCCGGTGTGCCCTTCTCGGGGCTCGCATCCTTTTTTTTGTCCGGGAAAGTCTTGAGGGTCAAACTGTGTCGTTGGCCCCCGGTTTACAAAAACAGCGGCTCCCGCCTGAGACTTCTTCACGGTTCATTGAAGAATCGCGCTCTCGCTTGGGACATCCTTGCAATTTACCACCGGATCGCGGCTCCCGCTTGACAGGTCCTCACAATTTCCTGAGAAACCGCGCTCTCGCTTGGGACTTCGTAGCAACTTACCACCGAATCGCGGCTCCCGTTTGATACTTCATCACAATTTATTCAGATGCCGCTCCTCGACACTCAGGAATCGCGCTCCCGCTACATATTGCCTGGCGGTTCAAGCAGAATTTACGCTTTAACGACCCGCCCGCTCGACCCGCCCGTCTGGGCCTGCCCGCCCGACCAGCCCGTGAGGGACTGCAGTCGCCGCTCGCTGCCCTTCGCCCGCCTTCGATGCCCCTCGCTGCCCGTACTGGTTCCGCGGTCGCCTTCGCTCGCTGCCCTTCGTGGCCCCGTCGCTGCCCTGCGTGGCAGGGAATGAATATACCCCCCAAAAGGGGGTACAATCGAAGACGAAGAGGGCGGGTATCCAGGGTTTGGGATATGCATATTGAATGACACGCGGGCAGATAAGAGCGAACAGTCTTAAAATGATTGTTGTTGTTGTTGTTGTTGTTGTTGTTGTTGTTGTTGTTGTTGTTGTTGTTGTTGTTGTTGTTGAACTCTCACTTCTGAAGAATAATTATTGTTGATTCTTCGCGTCCGGTGCACATGGTTTTTTCGACTGAAGTGCCCTTCCCCGGGCTTGCACCTTGTTTTTTTATCAGGGAAGTCTTGAGGGTCAAACTGTGTCGTTGGCCCCGGTTTACAAAAACAGCGGCTCCCGCCTTAAAGGTTTCTCACAATTTAGCCAGGACCCCCGCTCCCGCCCGAGACTTCCTCGCGTTTTATTCAGGAATCGCGCTTTCGCTTGGGATTTCCAGAGAATTTTTTCTCCCGGCGCTCTGGAGTCGCGCTCTCGCTGGAGACTTGCTTGCAATTTACTGAATAATAGCAACCTTGCGTTGGAATTTCTTGCAACTTACTCAAGCGCCGCGCTCCCGACACCCAGGCACCCAGGAGTCGCGCTCACGCTCAGGACTCCCTCGCAGATTACATAGGAATCGGGATCTCGCTGCCCTTCGTGGCCCCGTTGCAGCCCTTCGTGGCCCCCTCGCTTTGTTTCGTGGCCCCGTTGCAGCCCTTCGTGGCCCCCTCGCTGCCCTTCGTGGCCCCGTTGCAGCCCCTCGTGGCCTCCTCGCTGCCCTTCGTGGCCCCGTTGCAGCCCTTCGTGGCCCCCTCGCTTTGTTTCGTGGCCCCGTTGCAGCTTCGTGGCCCCCTTTGTTTCGTGGCCCCGTTGCAGCCCTTCGTGGCCCCCTCGCTGCCCTTCGTGGCCCCGTCGCAGCCCTTCGTGGCCCCGTTGCAGCCCTTCGTGGCCCCCTCGCTGCCCTTCGTGGCCCCGTTGCATCCCTTCGTGGCCCCTCGCTGCCCTTCGTGGCCCCATATATGTATGCCCTTCGTGGCCCCCGCTCGTTCGCGCCCGTGGTGGCCCCATATGCATCTGTCCTACGTGGCCCAGTTGCTACCCTCAGTGGCCCCATCGTTGCCTTCTGTGGCCCCGCATTCTCTGCCCTTCGTGGCCCCCGCTCCTTCGCGCTTTCGTGGCCCCGTACGCATTCCCTTCGTGTCCCCGCTGTTGCCCTTCGTGGCCTACTTCGTGTCCTTGTGGCCCTGCTGTCGTTCTCTTTCGCTCTCGCTTTCGCTCGTCGTCGTCGCCGCCGTCGTCGTCGTCGTCGTCGTCGCCGTCGTCGTCGACGTCGTCGTCGTCGTCGTCGTGGTCGGTCCCCTGTCCGTCCCTCTTGGGGTCGGGTCGACGGTCCGCGGCCGCCCCGCCGATCAGCGCTGCCGCTGGCCAGGCCGACGGTTCGCGGCCGCCCCGCCGCTTGTCGGGGCCCGGCCTGCAGGGAAGAAAGGTATACCCCCCAAAAGGGGTTCGATCGAAAACGAAGAGGGCGGGTATCGAGGGTTTGGGGAATAGGCGTTATTGGACACTCGAGCAGATAAGGGCGAACAGTCTTAACATGATTGTTGTTGTTGTTGTTGTTGTTGTTGTTGTTGTTGCTGTTGATGTTGCTGTTGCTGTTGCTGTTGCTGTTGCTGTTGCTGCTGAGCTCTCACTTCTGAAATATAATTATTGTTGATCCCCTCATCCTGTAACATATGTGTTTTTTCAATTGAAGTGCCCCTCCTGGGGCTCGTGCCCTGTTTTTGTATCAGGGAAAGTCTTCCTGCTCAATCAGCAATTTACGCGCGAATCGCGCTCTCGCGCGGGACTTCCCCGCAATTTATTCAGACGATGCGCCCTCGGCGCTCAGGAATCACGCTCTCGCTTTGGGCTTTCTCACGATGTACTTGGGAATCGCGCTATCGTTCGAGACTTCCTCGCGATTCATGCAGATCCCGCGCTTCAGCAACCCGCCTGCTCGACCTGGTCGCCTGGGCCCGCCTTCCCGATCTGCCCTCTATGGGTCTGCCCACCCGATCTGCCCGTCTTGTTCTACCACTTGTTTTCTGCTCCTTGCCCCCCTTCTGCTAATTTCTCTCGTGCTCCATTCTTCTCCCTCCCCCTTCCACTCGTCCTCTCTTCCCCTTTCTTAAGGGCTGCACTAAATGCACGTGGCAGGTCAGGAAGACATGCCCCCAAGGGGGAACGATTGAAGACGACGAGGGCGGGTACCGAATGTTTGGGATCTACGTATTGATTGGCACGTGAGCAGAGAGGAGCGAACAGTCTTGAACCGATTGTTGTTGTTCTTGTTTTTGCTGTGATTATTGCTGCTGCTGTTGTTTTTGTTGTTTTGCAGATGATGCTGTGGCTGCTGCTGCTACTGCGGATGATTATGATGATGGTGGTGATGTTTGTGATGATGACACTGATGATGGCGATGATGTCGATGATGGTGATGATGCTGGTGCTGATGATGATGATGCTGATGATGACGATGCTGATGAGTACGGAGAGGATGATGATGCTGATGATGATGAGTAGGATTATGAATATGATGATGCTGAATTTGATTATGTTGATGATGCTGCTGATGATGACTATGATGATGATGCTGATGATGATGATGAGGATGATGGCGGCGAGGTCAATGACGACGATGACGATGATGCTGCTGATGATGATGGTGATGATGGTGATGATGGTGATGATGGTGATGATGGTGATGAGTATGAGTATGCTTATGGTTATGATGATGGTGCTGATGGTAACGACGATGATGGCGATGATGCTGCTGCTGATGATGATGATGATGAGGGTGATGGTGATGGTGATGGTGATGGTGATGTGATGATGATGCTACTGCTGCTGGCTGATGGTGATGATGATAAGGATGATGACGACGGTGATGATGCTGATGATACTGATGCTGCTCCTGATGATGATGCTGCTGACGATGATGATGCTGATGGTGATTCTGGTGATGATGATCGTGATGATGATGCTGTTTATGATGATGCTGCTGCTGATGATGATGATGATGCGGATGATGTTGACGCTGACGACGCTGCTGTTTATGAGGATGCTGATCCTGATGCTGATGCTGCTGATGATGAGGATGCGGATGATGATGAGGATGATGCTGTCGATGCTGATGATGCGGATGATGATGATGATGATGATGATGATGATGATGATGATGAGGATGAGGATGATGATGATGATGCGGATGATGCTGCTGATGATGCTGATGATGACGATGCTGATGATGATGATGATGAGGATGATGATAATGATGACGATGCTGATGATGACGATGATGATGACGATGATGATGCTGCTGATGATGCTGCTGATGATGATGATGCTGATGATGATGATGATGATGTGGATCGTGATGATGATGCTGACGATGCTGCTGATGATGATTATGATGATGATGGTGATGATGATGATGCTGATGATGATGATGATGATGATGATGATGACGATGATGATGTTGATGACGATTCTGATGCTGATGAAGAGGATGCGGATGAGGATGAGGAGAAGGATGAGGAGATTGAGGATGGCGATGAGGATGAGAGCGCTCCACTTCGCTTCAGTGGCGTTCGTGAAGAAGCCTATCTCATTCGAACTCTCACCCGCGTCATGATTCACCAGCTCGTGGGGGAGCGTCTTCTCTGTCAGGCTGCGTGTTCGGCGCAGCGCCTTCACGGCAGAGATCGTCGCGCCCCACTCGTCGGACACAAACGTGTCATCCTTCTGCAAGTTCAGCAGGGGGATGCTCCCCCACAGTGGAGCGGAACCCGCGAGGATGGCAGAATGGCAGGAGGGGCATCCATTATTGGATGCCCCCTCCTGCCATATGAGAATGTGGAGGAGGACGAGAAGGGGGGAAGACCCCCACTGCGGAACTCATGGGAGTGGCAGAACTTTCTGGGAACACCCCGAAAAAAAAGGCAACGTCAATTAATCCGAAGCGTTGGTGCTAGAACGTTTGGGGACACTCTTAGAAAAACAACCAGGAAAGCAACACACACACACACACATCAATCCCATGAAGGAGGACGAGGATGGAGAGTACCCCCGCTGTGGGGCAGAACCCCTCGGGGCGGCTGATATTTTTTCTTATGAGGGTGTTCCCAAACTTCTGCCACCCCGCATGGGTTCCGCCTCACAGCGGGGATCCTCGACTCCATCGTCCTCTTCCACGTTTTTTTCGTTTGATTGTGCTCCCATCCCCGCCACCAACGTTTTTTTGTGTTACTCACCTTTCTTCTCCGACAGTGTTCTCAAATAATTGGCGCCACTATGCGCCAGGCCATGCCCGTCGCCACTGAATGGGGATGGGGAAGTGGGGAGGAGGAGGAGAGGAGGAGGAGGAGGACGCGGAGGAGGAGGAGGAGGAGGGGGAGGGGGAGGAAGAGGAGGAGGAGGAAGAGGAGGAGGAGGAGGAGGAGGAGGAGGAGGAGGAGGAGAGGGAGGAGGAGGAGGAGGAGATAACTGAAACCGAGGAAGAGTGAGAAGAGAGAGGGTGAGGAAGAAGGCGCGACGAAGGAACACACATAAGGACAACCGCACACAAAAGACGACGCAGCAACTTTGAGAAACCCTGAACACGCATGCCCCCCGTTAATGTCCTGAGTCCTCCAGGAGTCCACCCAGGCTCTGGAGGCCTCCGCGGGCCCCGAGAGGCTGAAGCGAGGCCGAAAGCGCCCCAAAGCCGCAGAGCAGGACACCCCCCGATCAGGTTACGGTCAGGAACTTTGGCTTACAGTGGGGGCGCGCATCAAGAAACCATCTGCTTTTCGTCAAGGCACCCTGGGTTTCTTTGCTCCGCGCGTTGCTCGGTGACTTCCCACAACCGTTGAAGACGCTGCTGCGTTCAGGATGCTGAGGTTTTCACTTCGCGAGCGGGTTTTCAGGGTTGGGTTTCTTGCGAAGGTTTCTTGCGGCAGCGCCAGCACTGTAGCGTGTCGCTCCGCCGGTTCTGGCCCGCCACGCTGCGGCGCGACACGCTATCCACGTCCCCGTGCCCGAGCGTTAAAGTCCCGAGCCTTTCGAAGCCTCCCGCTCCGCAGAGTTGAGCGGCACGCTGTCCGCTCGTAGGGCACAGCGTGTCGCCGGGGCCGCCACGTTTCGTTCCCTGCGGTGCTCTTCTGAGGCAAACTGGCTACTGATGACGTGCATGCAGAAGAGCACTGAAGCATTGCCCCAGCAGGTGTACCGCAACTCGACGCGTGCTTCCTTTCTTGGCTCAGCGGCACCAGGCTGGTCCAGGTCTGGTGCCCACGGCGGCCGCGGGCCGATGCCGACCTGCTGCAGTTTCGTGCTGCGCCTGTTCAAGGCTCGTCTTCCCGTCCTTCCCTCTCGGCCTCTTCGTCCTCCGCCTCTCTTCTTCGGCGCCCTCGTCGTCCATCATTCTCGTCCGCCGTTCCTCCTTGCCCTCCTCCTTGCTTCTTCGTCGTCGCGGCCAATCATTCTTCTCCTGCTCTCCACTTTCCTCCTCCTCATCCTCCATAATCCTTTCCCTCTCCTCCTCCTCCTGCTCCTCCTCCTCCTCCTTCATCTCCTCTTCCTGTTCGTCGTCGTCCTCCTCCTCGTCCTCAACTTCCACCCCTCTTCCTCATGAACGCCTGCTCCCCGCATCACCCGGCGTGCCTACAGGGCGGGCTGGGCGTTTCGCCTGAGACTTCCACACAGCTGGTGATCATGCAGCTTGCTTTTTGCAGCAGTCGAGCGGACGGAGGCTGGGCCGTGTTCAAAGTGCGGCTTTCGCCCAGACGCCGCGCGCACTCGTCTGGCAAAGCTTCCAGCAGTCGCGAGGGTACAGGGCGCGTGGTTTTCAAGATAGGAGGAGGAGGAGGAGGAGGAGGAGGAGGAGGAGGAGGAGGAGGAGGA